GGGGGGGAGGAGTTTCCTTTTGTATGGAGAACACAACTGGAGCAAACTATAAATAGTTACTTACACATCAGTAAAACAAGATTAGATCTTTGGTTTTGGGGAACTGTGTTCTTAAAGCTGCAATTTCAACAAAGTGAAGGGCTTACTAGGAGTTCAGTCTGCATCTTATTTGGATAATTTTCAAATATAGAAATAGTAGCACCCAAGTGTGTGGCCTAGTGGCCAATGAAGTGGGTTCAGAACCATGAGGTCTCAGGTTCAAATCTCAGCGGAGGCAAAAGCATTAGGTGATTTCGTCCTATTTTTCCATACTTTGGTGGACAGAGTTACCCGGTACTTGTGTTGGTGGGCTGTGTTACTCGGACTCTCCAAAAATGTCGTCAGGTGTATGTGGGATCCCCCAAAACTAGTGCGTTTTTTAAGGATCCAACACGGGTGCGGCGACATTTTTGGAGAGTCCATACAATATACCTGGTGGGAGCTAGCAGGTACCCCGTGGAATTAGTCGAGTGTGCGCAAACTGGCTCGGAGACCGCAGTTATAAAAGAGAAAAAGAATATGTGTGTGTGTGTGTGTGTGTGTATAGAGTAAGGATTGATGCATTGGGAGCTTTCTTGACCCAACAGGTGCTGCTGCATGACAGTTCTAATGTTGTGTAGTTTACTGTTCTGTCAAATTGTTTAAATGATTTCTGCTAAAGCTCCTGGGAAGAGTCAAGTGTCAGTAGCGAGTTCACTAAGTGTCATATATTTGCCTTTGTCTAAAATCTACCTTAATGCAGACTGGCCTTTTATGTGTCACAATGCATTATTACTTTCTACCAAAAACTGCGCTCCATAGTCCTCCAGACATTGAATCCTTCATGGTATAGACATAACCGTAGCCTTAGATATTTAGGTGACTCCATCCCATAGCGTTTACACTCTAGCTCTTTTATATTACTTTCTTGAATGGTGTTACCTTGTTCTACCTTAACTAGTATATGCATTCTTAGTTTAACTGCTTGTAAATTGTTCGGTTCTCTCAATCACTTCTTAATCAAGTATTTACGACATTCCAATAAAACCCTTTTCTCCATACAAAACGATCTTAAGGATGCGTGTAAATATTGCTTGAACCTCAATTATTCATTATCCAACAAGACTTGACGAACTCAAGTCTTTGCATTATTGGTTGTGATTGAAGCTTGTAGCGAGGTTGATATGAATCAAGAATTGTCAACATGTTTTTTTTCATCCGTTGGTTGTCATCACCTGGAATAGAACTGGTGTTGATATGACCTTCCTTCTGCTATAATAATGAGATTTTAAATGCTTTCGTAGGACTTAATTTGGCAACGGAACATGCCATAATGGTATAAGTTTTCTGCAATTAAAATTTTTACAATAGTTGCTTACGCCCTAATTTCTTTTCAGATGCTTATATTCATTTTGTTTTGATAGTTTTGGGGACAGCGGGTGGGGGTTCGCAAATTCAAAGGTGACCTGTGTAGACCAACAAACATTTTTCCAATTGAAGAGTCTAGTATTTTCTTCTTCCTAACCTTGGAAGTTTATAATCTGATATGCAATAAAGCTGGCTGATAGGAACATAGGAACTTACATTGCTTATAGCAATCGACCATTCTTGAGAGACCAAATTGAAAGTTGCCCTATGGTTTCCCATGGTAGGTGTAAAATAGATGACTTGGCGACGGATTTTCTAGCTTATTGTATAAGGAAACAATATTAACCTGACATGCGAAGAAAGAACCATAATTAACTGATGTTACTCTTGATACAGATGCCATGAATAAGACAGATGAGGAATCTGAAAGTCTACACAGACAGTTTCTTGAAGGGGAAATTGATCTTACAACATTTGTGCAGAAGTACAAAAAGCTGCGATACAGTTACCACAAACGTGCACTCACACACCTTGCTGCAAAGACATCTGTAACTGGCTGAGTGTTGCTTAATATGTAACTGGCTGAATGTTGCTTAATATGTAACTGGCTGAATGTTGCTTAATATGATATGTGTGAATACTATAGCTGAGCCTGTCTTTGCTGCTTAAACTAAGTGTGTACGAGAGATTGCTTCAGATGTAATATTGTGATTAATTTCTGCCGGCTTGGCCTCCACTGTGTAGCGTGCTTGATATAATAGAGGACGACTATTTTTTCTTGATAAGATCAGAAAAAATATTAGATTAATGGTGGTGTATAAGTCAGAAAATGGTCAGTCTCATCTTATCTCGGATGTCTGCTTTAACATGCCTGTGTAGCTGGTGTATACTATTGCTTCATTCTGGAACAAAGAGAAGTGTGATATTTTCATATTTGGAAAGGGGGATTGCTGAATGGTTTTATTGTTTATTAGTGTTACTGTAATTGGTTCAGGGGAGCACAGGACTGTTGCTGTAGCCTTTTTTGATTGCAGCTATTTGTGTAGCTTTTGATTCAAATGACGCAAATTATGGACTTGGAAGAGTTGTGATTTTCATAAACTTATGTGCAACCCAAAACAGAAAATAAGTACGTCAACTAAAAGAAGAAAGCAGAAAAGAAATTAGTCGATAAAAGAATTAAACATATTCACTTCCGCTGATGCATAATAGTAAAAATTGTATAGGGTAGCCACTTTAAAAAAGTGGCATTTACTTTTTATTCAGTATTTTTAATGCTTAGCAATAGTAACAACTAGTCTATTAAAATTAATATGAAAAGACTGTGTTACCCTTTCTTCGGAAGGGTCAAACTCGAAGGAGATTTTCAGCTTGAGAACTCTGATCATCAGCATCATCAGGTTCACGAGAAGGGTCAGATTTGTTCAACGGGCGCGAGCTTTCTCGAGCCATGGCTTGAATGCGAACTCTATGGCTAGCCACCCAAAAGCTAGAGCACTGACTACCACTGCTGTTGAACGAACTTGTCTTCCCCATTGTTGATAAGACTATAGAAAAGGATTTGATTGCTTTTTCTGAGGTTTACAGACGAGGCTTTTTCTGTTGTGTAATTTGACATCAATCTTATATGTAAATTGCAATTATTATTATTTTTATTTTTTTGTGAAAAGATACACATAACGTTTGGTTTTCTGCTACGTTATGGATCCTAAACTTACAGTTACAAGTTCAAAAGTTAAGGACACTTGGTCCTGAACTTCGAGTTCCAAGTTTAAAAGTTAAGGACACTTGGTCCTGAACTTAGAATTACAAGTTCAAAAGTTAAGGACACTTGGTCCTGAACTTAGACTAACAAGCTCAAAAGTTAAGGACAATAGGTCCTGAACTTACAGTTACAAGCTCAAAATCTAAGGACAATAGGTCCTGGAGTCCTGAACTTAGACTAACAAGCTCAAAAATTAAGGACAATAGGTCTTGAACTTAGGCTAAGAAGCCCAAAAGTTAAGAACAATAGGTCCTGAACTTACAGTTACAAATTCAAAAGTTAAGGACAATAGGTCCTGAAGTCCTGAACTTAGACTAACAAGCTCAAAAGTTAAGGACAATAGGTCCTGAACTTAGGCTAAGAAGCCCAAAAGTTAAGGATAATAGGTCCTCAACTTAGACTAACAAGCTCAAAAGTTAAGGATACTTGGTCCTGAACTTACAGTTACAAGTTCAAAAGTTAAGGACATGTAGTCCTGAAGTCCTACAGTTAAGTCCAAAAGTTAAGGGCATGTAGTCCTGAAGTCCTGAACTTAGAGTTACAAGTTCAAAAGTTAAGGACATGTAGTCCTGAAGTCCTGAGGTTAAGTTCAAAAGTTAAGGACATGAGCAGAAGAGTATTTTTGTCCGGGCAGTTAAAGTTTATTAAAGCAGTGGCTAAAGACTAAAGACATTTTAAACAGTGGCTTAAAAGTAAATACATGTGTTATTAGTGGCTAACCGTGCACTTCCTCCTGCATAAAAATCGTAGCTTAATCGCTGAATATATACCACCACCTAAAAATGGGAGAAGTTAAAAAATAGCCAGATTTACAAGTGGTCATTGAAAAATAGCCACAGTTTCAAAAGTAATCAAAATGTAGCCACTTTTCATGTAAAGATAAATCTGAACGAAAACACTGTTCAAAATCCGGAAAATATTCCATCATAATAAACTGGAACTCCAGATATTATATACTGGAACTCGAGTATATAGTTCTAGTATATTATATTGGAATTCCAGTATAATATACCGTTCCAGCATAATATGCTGGAAGTTCATACACATGTATGCCAATCTCTAGTATATTATGCTGGAACTTTCCGTGTTGCAGCAAAATAGTAGCTATTTTTGAATGACTTTGTAAACGCTGGCTATTTTTCGATTACCAGTTCAAAAACTGGCTAGCCCGTATTATTTTTACCCTAAAAATTGAGTACAAAGACAAACCCAAAAAAACCAACATTTGCCCACAGCATAAAAAGTATTTAAATGATAAAATTATGATAAAATAAAACTCCCTACCTTGGAATGGAAATGATGATTATTCTCTGGTCAACAAAAAGTTGTTACTTCGTAAATAGAGGATTTGTGACTTTCTAAAGTTGGATTAACTCTTTAACTTCTAATACTTTTATTTTTATTTTAAGGTTATATAACATTGATTTAAGATGAATTTGAATAAGAAAATATGACCAGTGAAAATTTATATTTTCTGTTTTCACTTATTTAATGTTGAGCGATAGTTATTTGTCGCTAAATTCCGTCATATAAAATGAAAGAATAAGAAGTACTACTACTATTGAATTCACTTAATTAAAAAAAAAAAACAAACAATTAGATACTCCTAGTCCTATTCATCGTATAGATGATGAGGTGGATAACAGATTTCTATAACAGATGATTCCACTACACATCTCTACAGCACCAAATACAATGCCATTTTCACTCACTCTCTCCTCTTTCTCTCTTCTCTCTCACCCCACCACCCACCACCACCGAACCACCCATCTGGGCCCACTTCCTTACCGTTCACTTTCCATCAAATCTTCCATAGACAACAAGAAACCACCTTCAACTAAGCCCAGTTCATGGGTCAGTCCAGATTGGTTAACAAAACTAACCAGCTCACTTACTTTGGGCCAAAATGATGATTCTAATATACCCATTGCAAGTGCTCAGCTTGAGGATGTTTCTGAACTATTAGGTGGTGCTCTTTTTCTTCCATTGTTTAAATGGATGAATCAGTATGGACCCATTTATCGCCTTGCTGCTGGGCCTAGGAATTTTGTGATTGTTAGTGATCCTGCTATTGCTAAACATGTTTTGAAGAATTATGGAAAGTATGGTAAAGGATTGGTTGCTGAGGTTTCTGAGTTTTTGTTTGGTTCTGGGTTTGCCATTGCTGAAGGTCCTCTTTGGACGGTAAATTATCTTACTTCCCTTTATTTATTTTTTTTGTTTTTGTTTTGTTAATTATGCAACTTGATTGGTTTAGGAAACTTGATTGGTTATGCAACTTGATTGGTTTAGGTCACCGGTTCGAGCCGTAGAAACAAGCTCTAACGCTGTTTACCATAGACCCTTGTGGTCCGGCCCCGCGCATAGTGGGAGCTTAGTGCATTGGACTGCCCCTTTTTTTATTGGTTTAGGAATGAAATGTGCCCAAATTGAGCAGAGTGGATATATTAGATTATATAGCTGACTCCAACTAGTTTGAGATTGAGGCGTAGATGTTGTTGAAATATGCAGCTTCACATGCACATTTTGTAGATATTGCTTTGACACTCACTTGGTGTTTATCAATGAAATTTATAATTTCCGATGGCATTTTGGTAATTCAACTTTAACTAAGGAGCTTCCCAGTTTTATATTAGTATATATAGATATATAGATTTATTGACTTATCTTAAGAAAATAAAGGATAATGCAGCATAAAATGAAATATATTGGAATGACTAATGAGTTAGGCCCAAGAAGAGCAAAATGGATATAGAGGATTGGTATAGCTAATCCAACTTGTTTCGGATTGAGGCGTAGGTTGCTGAATTTTATGCTTCCTTTGTAGTTGCATTGGAATGAAATGGGTCCAAACAGAGGTGGGTCCAAGATATAAATTTGATAGGTTCAACTTTTACATTTCTTAGTAATGATCACATAATACTTTTGAAATTATGGGTTCAGAATTCAATATTATTTGTTAAATTTTTTTAGTGGTTTTTCACATTTATATCTATATTCAATGTTGCAACTCCTGGGTTCAGATGAACCCAACAATTATGGCCTAAATCTGTCAGTAGATCCAAATAGAATGGAATGAATATAGAGGATTCATACAGTCAGCGCAAGTAGTTAGGAATTGAGGCGTAGTAATGGATATTGTTGAATTATGCAGCGTGCACCTCATGGTCGAGTTTGACAGTGAGACAGTTCCGTTTTAGTTGGTGCCAAACAAATGAGAGATCTTTAGTAGATGAATAAAATTAAAGGATAATTCTTATGAAACATTAGTTTGGTAATTAGGGTCAATACTTTTGCATCCGCTATTTCTGTGGAATTTGGACTCAGGCTGGTGAATGCTAATTTTCTTGATGAAATTTAGATGTCCCAAGGATTCATCTTTTCTGGCTAGTTTGAATTGTTGCATGTTGGTAGTTTAATTGTGATATACACAGCATAAAACGAAGCACACTTTAGGGTACTGAAAAGCTAATTTACTGTCAAATTCGATGGTGACCTCTAGTTTGGTATAAAACAATGTAATATGAAGTTCTGTAAACCATGGTTTATTATTGATGAAGGTAATTGATGATTTTTAGTTAGTTTTTATAATAGAGTGAAAGTATTGTACCCTAGTGTAACAATATTATGGCCACCAATGGTGTTGTTTTGAGCTTAAACCTAATTTGATATAGGCAAGGCGAAGGGCTGTGGTTCCATCTCTTCACAAGAAGTACTTGTCAGTAATAGTTGATCGGGTCTTTTGCAGATGTGCTGAGAGAATGGTGGAGAAACTTACACCTGATGCAATTTCTGGCTCTGCAGTAAATATGGAGGCAAAGTTTTCTCAACTAACACTTGATGTTATTGGTCTTGCACTCTTCAATTACAATTTTGATTCCCTTACTACTGACAGTCCAGTTATTGAAGCAGTTTACACTGCGTTAAAAGAAGCAGAACTCCGTTCAACTGATCTGTTGCCGTATTGGCAGGCATGTCCTTCCTATACTTAAATGGTTTTTGCCTAACTTAATCTGTTTGATCATTTTGACTGAAATCATCCATGTTTTTGTAGATCAAAGCCTTATGTAAGGTCATCCCAC